AGGGCGGGCGGCGCGGGCAGCGGCGGCGGCGGCTCCATGGCTCGGGCGCGCTGAGGGACGCGGCTCTCGCCTCAGCCCGGCGGCGGCGGCCGAACAATGAAGCTCCTGAAGCCGACCTGGGTCAACCACAATGGTGAGTGCGCGCGGGGGTAGCGGAGAGCCGAGCCCGCAGCCGGGCCGGGGTCCAGAGCTGGGCGGGAGGCGCGCGCAGGCTCTGCCTGCCTGACTCCGATGCCAGGTGCCCGGTGCCCCGGCAGCGGGAGCGGACTCTGCCCTCGCGCGGGGAGCTAGGGAGCTGGGCACGTGCTCCGCCCGGCCGCGGCCACGTCCGCCCTCGCCCCCGGCCACCCACCCGTGGGCCGAGCAAGGGTCGCGGCCTGGCCCCGGGGAGCAGCCCTAGGAGCCGGCTGGGTCGTGCAGGGTGGTCCAGTGTGTGAAACCGGGCCGGAATCCCCGCCGTGGCCCTTCAGTTGTAGGGTGCAGACCTGGCATGGGCATGCTCTACCATGCGGAAGGGCTGGATCTGGTGACAGTGCCTCCAGTGGGGACTGTGGCTGCAGCCCAAGGCACCACGTGCACTCTGAGCTGGAGCATCTGGGTGACTTGAGTTGAGGCCCATAGGGCAGAGGTGTGTTCTGGAAGAGGGTCTTCCTTAGCTCTGTGGCAGGGGCTCCAAAGCACACCCTGGGAAACAGACTCATCCAGGCCTCTGGTTGGGAAGAGACTCATACAGTGAAACCCGTGGCAACCAGCAGTTTCGTCACAGTTCCATCTTGTCTGCACACCTGCTGCAGGAGTTGGACTTGCTCCCCAAGGAGGTGAGGGGAGAAAGTCACCACCTCCTTGTTGACAGTGCTGAAGCCCATGGGAACGACCCAGGGCCCACAGCTGGCTGGCCTGCCTGCCTGCTGATAGCAAAGGGTCACCCTGATTCGTTCCTCTTTTCTACTTGGCTGTGTGACTAGAGGGAGCCACGGTTTTCTTTTAGAGCAAGTGGAGTGGATGGTCTTGCTTTTCTGAAGCATGTAGCTTTTAAGTTTTGAACTTGATCCCTGGACACTTTCCGCCTCTGTCTGTTCCTTCAGTCAGTGTTCCCCTGTCCCGTTTCCTGCAGGACGTCATCCTCATTTTTCAGGCCTGGGTGAGGTCGCTTTCTCCTGATGTTACCGTTGATCCTGAGTTGCTCTGAATGTGCTCTGTTCCTGTGAGTGTGCACTCCGGGCACTCGCCACCGTGTTCTCTGTCACTGTCGGCAGTGCCTTCCACACAACGGGCACTTGATGATGTGGGCCGGCACAGCTGGGAGCTGAGGTGGCCCTGACCTACAGAGACAGCGAGACTTACTGTGCGTGAAAGCAGAAGCGCGGGGGTCTAGTTTCGCCTCTCCTGTGTTGCTCTCCAAGAGCATTTCCTGACGTGAGTGTGAGCTCTTCTCTGGAGAACAGGGCAGACATTCAGTAGTTACACACCGTGGTGCTGGTGAATCAGGAAATGTCGTATTATGAGTTTGCGGCTGTGCGAGTGGCATCTGAAGGAATTTGCAGTTTGCACCACTTTGCCTGGATGAGTTTGTGTGTGTAGCGGACCGTTCTCCAGTCTCTCTTCTGCCCTATAATTTCTCACTTGATGGCAAACTTCTATGTAGAACACAAGTTTTATGCTGTGTAAGCATAAGTCAGTCAAGATGCTTAAGCAATTATTTAAGTGCAAATGAGTGAGAGTCTGTGACCAGGTCAGCAGCCAGTCATCCCAGCCTGGCAGAGTGGGCAGGGCAGTGAGCCTGGGGCCTCTCTGCCATCCTAGAGCAGAAACTGCGGTACCTGCCCCTCCGTCTTCATGGTCCAGTTACGGTGTTCTCTTGGGAAGGAAGACGGCTCTCCAGGCTATAAAGTGCTTTGGAAACCTAATAGACAGTGATCAAAGCAATTGAGACTCTTTAAAACCTGTTCTTTGTCAAATTTCCTCTCTTTTAAAATCTCTTGAAATCCACCCTGTCCCATGGAGTGTTTGGCAGGGCTGTGGGGATAAATTTCTGCTGTCCTGAAGGACACAATGATGGTCTGAATCACTGCTGAGCCTCCCGTAGAGACTGATGGGTGTTAGGAGCTGCCTGGAGTGGGGAGAGGGGTGGGCAGGAAAACTGCCGGCCGCACTTGGGATTAACAAACCAAGAGGAGTGTGGTGCTTTGGAGAGCGCACCATTGCACTTTCCGGCTTCCCAACTCTGCATTCTTGTCTCCTGACTCCTTATTCAGCTCAAACATACTTTTTCTGGTGTCTGAGTCCAGAGAGGGAAGGACCAGCGAGCCCTGCACTTTCCCTGTGGCTGTGGCTGGAGAGGGCAGGTTGAAAGCCCTGGAGAGGGCAAGTTGAAAGCCGAGGGGGAAGCAGCTACTGGGGGTGGGTGTGCTCTGGGTCTTCGTCTTTCCAGCCTTTGGTGATGGTAAGACCTCTTCTCTAAGGCAGGGTTTCTCAGTCTCTGCGCTGTGGACATTTTGGACCATGTTGTCGTAGAGACCAGCCTGCATGTTTTGGGACGTTGGCAGCGTCCCTGGCCTCTCCCCACCCAATGCCAGTAGCACCTTCACACACATACCCTGTTGTGACAATTGAAAGTGTCTCCAAATGTTGCCAGTGTTCCTGTTGGCCAGATCATCCCCATCTGAGAATCACTGTTCTAAGGTGATCAGGAAGTTCATAGATCTTTAAGTCATATCACAGTAACGAGCCTTGAACTTGGAATCAGACTGACTACCACACACCATCGTTTATCAGCTTTAAGTCTTGCACTTGTGGCTCCACTTCTGGGCCTCGCTAAAGCTGAAGAAACGTGCTCCTCCCTGCATTTCGCCGTCCCAGATGTAAAAGACTGTCTTTGATTAAGATGTGCAGCAAGAGCTGATGATGCTTCTCGTGTACACGGAAGTCATATGTTAGGCACTGTTGTCACACAGCCACCTTGTTTACTCTGTTCTTGGCTATAGTATTCCGTTAATATTTTATTTTAGGCTTGGCCAAAATAAGGTTCATTTCTAAGTTAGGTTATGACCATGTATTGGTCAGAAAGTGAAAGCAGTTTGGGCTTTTGGTTGTAGAAAAATGTATTTGTACGTTGAGAAAATTTTATTGAGATTCACGGTTCTTCACGTCCCTGGGTCTTCGTTCTTGAGAGTCCTTCTGGAATTCTCACGGGGTTTGTGTGCAGCTCTGCAGTGAAGCCCATTCTAACCAGAAGGTCGGGGACTGAAAGACCTCGTCCTCCTTTGGCCTCTGGCTCACACTTTGATGGCAGTGTTGTAGAAAGGTGTTTGGCCAGTTTTCTATAATGGGATGATTTGTCAGTTAATCACATTGCTGTAGGTGTGTGTTTTCTCTGTCCTGTGATCGGATTATTTCCCTGCCCTGTCTCACTCCACGAAGGATTGAAGACGCCCTGCTGAGACACACCGCATCTTGGGGAAGGGGGAGTGTGGGGAAGGGTGGTGCAACAATGGAGCCAGGTCGGGTGTGGACAGGCCCCACACAGCTACTGGGGCCTCTGCAGACCTATCTTGGTGAACGGGCGAGGAGGGACCCAGACTGACACGTTGTGATCACAGAGTCATTAAGATAAACCGGGCGGTTGCTCAGACCAGGGGTCCTCGGCCGGCCGTTGTCTGGAGATGTTCTTGGTTTCCCAGCAGGAAGGTTGCTGCTGGTGTCCAGTAGAAGGAGCACGGGATGGCTGCTGGTCACACTGCAGCACAGAAGACACTCCCCCGTGAGCACGTGGCGGTGCCTGGCTGAGAAAGTGCTCTGGGCAAGGAAAGCTTTACAGTTACCTGCCTTTTCACCTGTTTGTCTCATCCTTCCAACTAGGTCGTAAGCTTCTTGGAGACAAGAGTTGTGCCTTTTATTCTGGAATCATGTAGTCCTGCTCTTGAGTCTCCATGCTCTGCTGCTCAGCAAGTGTGTGTCACAGAAGGTTCTCGACACATCTCACACGGGTCGGTTTCATGAGGCCGGTAACAGCTGCTCACCGGCAAGGGCTCAGGAGATGCAAGCTCTCTTCACAGTCTCTCACTGTCTTATGCCTGAAGACAGTGGGTTGATTTAAAAAATAACCAGGTTTCATCTGGAGAAGATTCAGAAGAAGTGTGGGTGGAGTTTGCTGTGGGTAACCCACTTGTGGCGTTTTCACTGACTTATGCACCAGACATTGGATCCCTCTGGAGAGAAGTTCTGGAGATCAGAGGTGATGAGGAAGCTGTGTGC